CCGCCATATCGCCTCTCCAGTGTCTGGTCCTCTCCAGCGGCTCTGCTCCCTCGCTCCTCCTGGGGTCCCGCCCCCGGCTCGGGAGGGGTCGGCCCAGCCCAGCCCGGCCCAGCCCGGCCCTCTTCAACAGACTCACCCCACCCCCCACTCACGTCGCTTCCTTCTGCAGTTCCAGGCTTGCAGCGGGGAGAAGTGTTGGGGAGCAGGGGGTTTCTGCTCCTCTGCTCTCTCATCCAGATGCCACACCCTGGCCCATGGGGGACACCATTACACTTGGGGCCTTGGGTTGGTGCCTGGAAGAGGCCTCACAGGCTTTGACCTGGGTTCTGTCTCCCTCCACAGTGTAGTGGGAGGAGGAGGGGGCCAGACCTACCGACAGCACTAAAGCTGCCCCAGCCGCTCTAGTCCAGCGTGGTTTCTCCCAGTTGTGTTGTGGTTGGCCTGGAATAATGTTTGGAGGCCAGGGAAGCCCGAGGTATTTCAAACCTGGCTCAGGACAGACTAAGTCAGTTGGCGAAGTTTGGGGACTTGAGAGACTTGCTTGCTCTGTCTACCCCGCGTAGGGCTGAAGGTGGAGACACCCAAGGAGGCCACTCTCCGCCTCTGGCGGTGATGGAGAGGAAGGGAATGGAGGGCAATAGTCAAAGAAAGAGAAAAGATGCTGAAGGAGGAAAGAGAACAAGACACAGAGACAGACGCGCAGGGCGCTTGCTGCCCTTTCCTCAGCCAACTCGGGTATATGCTCTGCTGTCAGGGCGGGAAGGCTCACGGTCACGTCTTTGGGGAATCGGGGTGCTAGGGACGCAGGAGCCCAGCCCTAACCACTTCTCCCCACTCCCATGCTAACCTCCACCTCCTCCCTCCACGCCCCCCCACCCCCACCCCGCAGCTGGATCCTACGGAGCTCCCCCACTTCTCCCCTCTAGAGCCTCTTGGCGGTTCGGAAGCTGGGACAGGGGCGAGCTGTGTACCCACTGCTGAGCCCCGGGGGGTACAGAGGGGAGGGGACCCCGAGGAACGGCCCCCTCCATTTCCCCCGCTCTGCTACCACTCGCGCCCCCTGCGCTGACAAGCGCGGCTGTAATTAGGCTGCGGGGTCCTCGGCTCGCCGCCTCTCTCCGGTGGATAATGAGATAAAGTGTCAGAGACAGGGCGAGAACAAAGAGATAGAGACTCGCTGCGCTGTGGGAGGGGCGGGGGGGGGGGGGACGGGACACGGGGGAGGGGGCTGACGGGATGCCAAAGCCTGGAGCAGCGCAGAGCCTGGCCCTCCCTGAGCACCGCACCTCCAAGGCTGGGCAAGGGATTGGGATGTCACCCATGCCCCCCAGCCCTCCAGTCTCGGGGACTGAAAATCAACCCCGGAGCTCGAGCTCGAGGGGCCGCACAGCTGGGCTGCACAGCTGGCTGTGTGTGGCACAGCTGGGGCGCGGGACGCCGGCAGGGACGTCTGGCCCCTGCGCCGCGCCCGGTTGCCTTTCGCGCCCTCGCCCGCCTCCCTGCGCCGTTTCCCGTGAGTGCCGGTGACCCAGGCCTAGCGCGTCCCGGAGCCTCTGCCCCTCTCCTTTCCTGGAACCTCCTCGGATCCTCCTGCCTTGGCGTCCGCCCCTCTCTCCCTGCTCCTTATTACTTTATCGCTTCTGCTCTGGTCTGTCCGGGGGGGTCCTTGACCCGCCCCGGCTTCTGGTGCCGGTCTCTGACCCTGAGTCTACGCCCCTCCCAGCCCTGGATGGTGGTCTCCGGGGTCCAGCTGGACACAGAACTCCTTGGGTTCCAGACCCCATCTCTCCCCACCCCACCGCCCTGGACTTCCCCACCAGAAGGACTCAGGCCAAGCTGACCCAGCCGGGTGAGAGACGGCAGAAGTCATTAGCTGCGGATTAGGCGTGGCCAGGGGCGGGCGGGGGTCCCGCCGGGACTGTACTGCGAGCGCTAAATAGCACAGGCGACTGGGCCAGTCAAAAGCAGCTGGACTCGGCGGAGCGAGGTGGCTGCAGGGGCCGTGGGTGCGGGCGCCCCCTGGAGGCCGCGCTGCTCCCAAGCTCTCAGGGGCCATGTGTCGGGCGCCCCCTGTCGGGCCGCGTCGGCCCTGCGCCCCGCAGCTTTCCGGCAGGTAAGCCCGGCCCGCCGCTCCTGCCACTCCCGCCGCCAAGACAGTGGGATCCCGCAGCCTCCACTCTTTTGGTGCAAGGCGGGGCCGGGAGGGGGCGAGGAGAGGGGACGCAGAAGCTCCCGCTTGGCCAGCCGCGGTCACCCCAGGTTCAGGCTGGTTCCGCTCGCGCTCGCGGGGCTAGGCGGCCCCAGATGCCTGGGGCTCGGTCTCCGCCCTGAAACTGCCCTCTGCCCTCTGCCTCTGCCTGCTCTAGTCTCTGGCTGCCCTTCTTTCTGCTTCTTTCTTCTTCAGGCTCTGTCTCTGTCCATCTCCGTTTCTCTGTCTGTCTCTGCGTCTGTCTGTGTCTCCCTGTTCCTTATCATTCCTGCTGTGTGTCTGTCTCTCCCTCTGCAGCTCTCTCTGACTTATCCCTCTGCATCTGATTCTCTGTGTCTCTCTCTATTTATCTCTCCTTCCCTCTAAATCTCTCTACCTCGCGGTGTCTCTCTTTACAAATGCCTCTCTCTGTCACTGTCTATCTCAGTCTCCCCTTCCCATTCCCCAGTTCTATTCCTATTCTCTGGCTTGCTGCCCCTGGGGGAGGGGGGGCGCCGCAGCAGTCTAACGGGACCCAGCCTGGGGACATCTCGGGGCACTGCCTACGGTCCCCTTCCCGGTCACCTCCACATGCCCGTCATCCTGACGCGGCCTATGTCTTCCCTCTGCAGCTGTGGGGCGTGGAGGGGGCGCCCAGGAGGGAGACACAGCGCCCAGCATCTGCTCGGGAGCCCCAGGGCCCTGACCCCCTCTGCCGCTATTAAGGGCGCCGGGTCCCGAGGCTCTGAGATGATCATGATTGCATCAGCCAGACAGCCGCGGAGCTGGGAGCCGCGCGGCGAGCGAGAGAGCAGTGAGACAAAGACGCCCGCGCCATCTGTTTATGCAAAGCACTCTCCGCCGGGAACCCCGGCGTCCCAGTGCCTGGCCCGGCTCGGGGCACAGGGTCATGAGCCCGCACCTGCCCGGCGCCCCGCCGCGCCGTGGTTTCCCCCCTCACCCCAGCACCCAGAGGGGCCGCGAGGCGAGCGGAACGGAGGGAGGTGGGGGGTGTTGATGTGATTGGAGCGGACGCGGCTGTTTCTTCAATAATGGATGGAGATGATGCGGACGGCGGAGCCAAGCCCGCCCGGAGAACAGAGAGGAATAGAAATGGGGAGAGGAAGGGGCGGGGGAGGGAAGCTCACCCAGGCGCGTGCGCGCGCCACACACACACACACACACACACACACACACACACACACGCGAGCACGCGTGCGTCACACTGTCATACGCCGCCGCGCGGCTCACACCCAGGCACACGCCCACGCACTGTCACCAAGACACACACACCTGCAGGTGGAGACGCCAGAGCGACACACACTCACCAGAAGCCCTTTCTGATTCTCACATACACACAGTCCTGCGGGCAGAGACACACGGAAATGCCCACACACTAGACACCGAAGCGTGAAGAATACACAGATACATAGACACACCAAAGCACCTACGCACACCTAGACACCCTAGGGCTTAGACAGACAAAAATCATAAAGGTTGGGAGGGGGCTCAGAATGGGGACCAGACCAACAGGTACACACTGAGGGGCACACACACATACCTGGGGAACACATATACCAACATACACCCCTCACCTGGGGTTCTGACAGACACACCTCACACACTCGGGGCACAGACACACACATACTACACACCAGGGGCATAGACACCCATAATCACCAGGGGCACAGAGAGATCCCCCACCCACCCCTACACATTCAGAGGTTCACACCCACACATATGCAGGAGCTGCTGCCTGTGCCCTGAGGTGGTCGAGTGTGGTAGCGTGGTCGCTGGAGTCCCAGAAGTGGGCCTTGTTAGTCTAGCCGTATAATGAGGTCCTGGTGAAAGGAGGCGCCTGGGGCTGTGGGCCCAGCACCCTGCCTGACTGCCTGCAAGCTTCCTTCCTTGGCGTCCAGGGCAGGTGATGGACCTTGGGCCACTCTGGCCACAGCCAACCCAGCCAGGCCCCACCAAGCCGGCCCCAACCTGAGCAGCTGGGGAGAGAAGAGGGAGTCCTAAAGGGACATTGGTGGCTGCACAGAGAGACTCCCAGGATCCTCACACAGCCAGGAGGCAGGGGTGGAGGAGAGGATCACTCTGTACCCCCTCATCCTCAGTGCTGCCCAGTCCTCTGACTTCAAGGGGTACTTTCTTTGCCAAGAGTAGGGTGGGCACTGGAGAGGGGTAGGGTGTGGGTTGAGTCTTGGACCCTGGTAACCAGGCCCCTCCTCCTCCCGTCTGTTTTCAATTCAGTCCGCTCCTTGGCCCAGACTTTTGACCTTTGCAGCAGGAGGCAGCATCATCCATCACCCAGACGGCTGCTTGAGGGAGTGGGGGGCGTTTGGGGCTCACCCAGGGTCCCTGTCACTTCCATGTCCCTATCCTGAGACCTGCTCTCTGCTGGCGGGCCAGGGTTCTACCTGCGGGCAAGTACTGAGGGGAGGGCGTGACCCTGGGACTCAATCACGATACTGGGCCTTGTGTCCCCATCCCTGGAACCCCAGCACCCATCCTTTGAGCTCGGCACAGCCGGCCTCCCTGCTCCTGCCGCCCTCCCTCTCTCGGGCCCTTTGCTTAATTTCCTATTAACTGCTGATAAATCCAATTAAACCGCCGCTCTAATTAGGGACAGCTGCCGGCTCCGCGAGGCGGGGGAGGAGGGGTGCCCCCCGAGTGTAGGGGGAAAGAACAGCCGCTCTCTCTGCTTCTCGGTACCCCCACACCAGCATCGCCGCCCAATGAGCCAGTAAATTGGTTTTGCTTCAGCATTGTGGGGGGGCCCCCTCGAGGATCTCGGGGGGCTCCGGTTTTGAGTCTCTCAGATCGCTTGATGAAGAGATGAGACCTGAGCTCAAGCCGTCCCTCCCCCACCCCACATTCGTGGTAGGAGGATCCCGAGGAGGCATGGGGGTAACAGCCTTGGTATGTGTGGTGGTGGAGGGAGCCCGTGATCTGCTCCCGTTCCAGCCCAAGAGTGATTAAAGGGGATCTGCCTGAGCCTTCGTTTATGACCCTGCCGCCGCCCCCAGGAGTCTGGGACAGTCAAGGGCAAAGGGAACAGGAAGACGAACCCGGTTCTGCAGCGAGTCTTCTTGTGTGCTTCCCTACCTCCACACCTCAGCCTTCTGGAAGGAAGGGGGGCGCGCCCGTCCCGGGCCCTTCTCTTCCCCAGCCCAGCTGAGCCTCTGCCCTCCCCCTGCCAGCAGCAGATGGTGCCCCGGCTCCCGCTGCCAACCTTGCTAGGCGGTGCCAACCTCAGGCCTGGCAGACAACGGGCAGAAGAGGATCTCCTGGCTGACCAGGCTGACCCTCCCCCATCCACCGTCAAGCTCAAGACCCTCCGCCGGCCCCAATCCAGCGACCACCCCAGGCTGCCTCTCACTGGTCCGCCCCCAAGTCCCCAAACTCCTTGTCTCCTTCAGCTCCCTTCCCCACACCTTCCCGCTCCCCACCACCTGCCACCCTGACCAGGGCTGGTGTATTTGCATATTTACATATGCAAATAATAATATTTGCATACGGCGCGCCGCAGGGGGGTCTGCGCGTGAGCTGGTTAGCTGTCTGCCCCGCGCCCTCTCGCTCGGTACCTGTCGCAAAGGGCTGGGGTAAGGGCCGCGCGGGAGGGGTTAGGCCCCCCGGCCTCTCCGGCTCGGTTCCCCGAGGACTTGAGGAAGTGTTGCCATGGAGACGGCACGCACCCCACCCCCTCCCAGGCCCAGGGTCTCGGGCTTGGTGTCTCTGGTTCTCTCCTCTCCCCCACTCCCGCCCCCAACCCGGTCCCTCGCTCTCCAACCGAGATCTTGCATCGCCCTCTGGCGGCCCAGCTCGGCAATGAGCCAGGTTCCGAAACGTAAGTGGCTGCCCGCGGGTATACGCCAGGAGCTAGAGGGACCTACCCCACTACTGGATCCAGCTCCCAGGCGCAGGGGCGTGGGAACGGTGACCCCGGTCCGACTTCCCTTTCTTCACAACAGAGGCCTCCCCAGGAGGACGCATCTGTCTCCCATCTCCCACCAGCCTCAGCCCAGGTAGGTCTTGGGTTACCGGATGGTAGTGAGGTGAGCCGGCTGGGGATGACTCTCCACCCCTTCGTAGGCCCCCTCCCCTCGGCCCACAGTTAAAGAGCAAACTTTTCTAACTTTTGTCAAAACTTTAATAAATTGGCAACATTCGACAGTTCGCCTCCCACCCTCCCGGGGCGCCTCCTGGTGGAGACGCGTTCTTCTTTTTCCAGCTCTCAAAGCCTGGGCCGGAAGGGTTACGGGTGAGGCTGCTCTGGGCACCGGACGCCCTCGGCCGGGGGAGGGGGCGGGCACCAGTCCCTCCCTAGAAGCCCCGACGCTCTCGGCGGGTCTTCCCTCCCTCCCCCACCCAGCGGTGCGCGTAGCTGCTTCCGCCCCTTTCCTCCCCACCCTCCACTGGGCCTGCCCAGAATGGGGCATGGGTATCTCGCCAGCAGGCGCCCGCACGCCTAGATCTCCTCCAGGAAGTCGGTGGGGAACAGCCCCACCTTGCGGCCAGTGTAGACCTTGACGTAGCCGCCGGCTTCATCTCCTTTCTGCACCACGATCTAAAGGATTGAAGGATTAGAAAGGAGAGGAATCGAGGAAAACGTAGAAGAGGAGAGCCAGGGAGCCCGGAGCTGTGGAGGCCCATTCTAGTCCCATTAATGGGTTAAGATCTGCAAAGAGTGTGGTTTGCAGAGGGGCCTTCGGGCCTGAGGTTGAGTTGGGGCAACAGAGCTACCTGGTCCTTCTTGAGAGTGATCTGCCCTATCTCGCGGTTCCCCACGAAGGATCTCGTTACGCGGTGCACACGCTCTCCAGACCGGACTCGAATGATGAAATTTGGAGGGAAAAATCCGACCTTCTCCCCTATTTTCCCCTAGAGGAGATGGTAGGGAGAACCAATCTCTCAATCTCAGGTTCTAAACTCAACCCACGTCCCACCCTAGCCTCAGCCCTTTTTCTTACCCGCCACCACTCCTCATTGGAGTCATCAATGACTGTGATCTTCTCTCCAGGCCTGGGAGAGCAAGGAATGGGCCTCTGAGATTTAGGGGCCTTACTCACACATCCAGTCCCTTGGCTGTGCACAGGTCCAGCCTCAATAGGCTCTGCGCCCTGAGTCCCCCCTTTTCCTTTGCCACAAGGAGTTGGGTTCTCCCCTCTCCACTCCCAGTACACCCCCACCCCAATCCTAAGGCCTCTCACGGGAAATCCAGATCGTCCTTCTCCAGGGCTTTGAACCGATAGAGAGCCACAAAGTAATGAGACTGCTGGAAGCCGGGCTGCTTGTGCTAGGGGTGAAAGGGGGTCATGAGTGTCAGGGCTCCTCTGTCCCACAGTGAGGGGCAGGAGTCCAAGGCAGGGGCAGTTGCGTGTGTGTGTGTGTGTGTGAGGTGGTGGAGAAGGCAGGTTAAGGGAGATGGGACCCATGGAGTAAGTGTGAGCTTCTGCTGAGGCCGTGAGTGTGTTAGACCTGGGTTGGGGAGAGGACTGGGGTCCCTGCAGGGAGAAAGGAGTCTCACTTTGTCATCAGGTGTCTTCTTTTCAGCCTTCTTATCCCCTTCAGGGTTTCCTGGGAGGAGAAACACAGACTAAGTGTCTCTGGCTCCTGGAGGGTAGCCCTCATTCTCTGCCTCTTCTGTTGCAGGGGCTCTTCTATGTCTAAACCTGACCTGCTCTTTGGACCTCCATCCCCTGTGCTACAGCTGAGGCCCTGAACCTACTCCATCTCTATGGATGGAGGTGGGTGTCACTTACCATCCTGGGGTTTGCCTCCCTCTGGTCTGGCAGACTCTGGCTCCTCTTCCATCATGGCTGCTATAGGCTGGAGGGGGCACCAGAGTTAGGAAGATGCTGTCTTGGGAACCCATGCTTGCCCTGGCTCTCCAGTCAGGCCAGAGAACTATAGAATAATAGGATCTCAGGGTTGGAAGGGGCCTAGGAGGAAATATCTAGTCAACCCCCTGCCTAATGCAAGGACTTCCTCTAAAACATCCTGGCAGTGGGCCACCCTTATTATGCTTGAATGTAGCTAATGATAGGGAGCTCACTACCTTGCAAAGTAAGCCCATGAAATTTGGGGGCAATTCCCTCTAAAAAGCCCACGTCAGTCTCCCTGTAACTTTTAGTTATGGGTCCTGATTTGTCTTCTGGAACAATACACAACAAATTTAGTCCCTTTAAAGATTCAAGGACCAGCTGACATGTCCTTCCTCCCTTTTTTCTCTAATCATTCTCAGTCTCTTTAAGTCACCCCCCATAATCCCAATTCCATGTCCTTCACTATAATGTCTGCCCTTAAAAAGACTCCAGTATATAAGAGAAAAACAGGCAGCACAATTTTTATAATTCCCTTAAGAGAACAGAACCTGAGTGTGCTAGCCTTTCTGGAAGCAGTCAAATCACATTGCCGGTGCCTTGTAAGTCATAGTTCAGTCCACAGAAATCCCAGATTTGCACCCAACCTCCCTATCAACTACTTTGAGGCTAGATCTTTAGTTCTGTGCAGCTGATTTTTTTTCTGATCCAAAAACAGACATGTACATTTTTCCTTACAAAATTTCAAATGATTAGTTCTGGGCTTTTCTTCTAGTCTGTAAGATTTCTGAATATATTATTCAGTGTGTAAATTTTCCCTCCTAGGTTTCCCACAAACTTAATGGATATACCATTTATATCTTCCTTTGCATCAGTGAGAAAAATGTCCATAGGTGAGGACTAAGGACCAAATCATGTTATAAGGTACCAGAAATCACCTTCTAGCTGGACATTCCCTAAAGGACCAGGATCCTTTGGTTACTATCATTCAACCAATTTTAGGAATCCATCTAACTGTAGCCATTATCCACATTGGTCCATCCTGGTTGTCCAGAAAGATACAAGGATACACTAACAAATTCCTTGCTGAACTGAGCGCAAGTCTATGGCATTACGGATCTAGTAAACCTATTACAAAAGGAAGTGAAGTTGCTCTTAGCCACTAGCTTTATGCCTCAGTTTCCTCATCTATAGGATAAATGGGTCAGACCAGATGATCTTCATGGACACTTGCATGGCTCTAGAATTCTCTGGTTACGTGGCATTAACAAATTCTCTTCCCCAAATCCAAAAGCATAGCTCTTGCCTCTGGTGCCCAGCAATGCCAGGAGCCGGGGGCTCAGTCTTCAGTTGGTTTGGTGGTTAATCTGACAATTTCAGAAGGGAGTTCCTGGAGAAAACACACTAGGGCAGGAGTTCTTAACCTGAGGCCCTCTAAAATTGCATGCCAAAATTTGTCTGTTGGGTTATGTGCAGTTTTAGGGGAAGAGAATGTAGCTTTTGTCAGCTTTCTAGAGAGGAGGGAGGACCTGCTCCATGGGGTCTCTGGAAGGGATCTCAGTAGGAAGGTATGGTGCTCACATTTTTCTTATCTGCCTGTCCCTTCTTCCGTTCCTTGTTTGCCATGATCACCCCAGTGCGCAGGGTTTCAAATACAGGGTCATTGCGATTGGCAGCAGCTAGTGGGGATGGGAGAAGAAAGAAGACATTACTGGGGAGGCAGAGAAAGGCTTGATAGAGAGAGAGACCTCCTAAGTAAGGCAGAGATGGGATTGAGCAGATAGATACACATGCATGTGAGTGTGTCTGTAGGATTAGGGAAGGGTCAGCTGGGCTACCTAGGTCATCAATCTATAAAGAGCTCTAAAGACATCCCTGGCAATGTAATGTGATAGACAAAAATATTTATCAGCACTCCTTCCAGGCAGAGCATTATATGATATGGGAAAGACAACTTTGCTAATAAGTTGCTTGGGAGTTGAGGAATGCTCAGAATCACTAGTCCGCTTCTAAGGAGAGTGGTCTTTTAACTGCTGGCTTTTGTTCTGCTGAGTGGCATGTGTAAGCTGGAGTGATCACACCAGTGGGTTCTTCTTTTTCTACCCATGCTCCTCACAGAGTTCAGCCTCTCCTTCAAATAAATGTTGAGGAAATTGTCAATGAATACTTTTTTAAGAGTTGCCAAATTATGGATCTGCCCAGGATGCCCACAGCTCTTGGTCTGGCCCTGAGGCTGGCATTATTCTGTAACCAGGATGAAGACAGTCTAGAATCCTTGTTCTTGCTTAGAAATGGTTGCATATATGAAGAGCATAGATTTTGAAGTTGGGCAGATGAAGGTTTCAGTCTTGTCTCTGTCTCTTGCTATCTGTGTGAAGCCTTAGCTAAATCTTACATCCCTCAGCTATAAACCAGGGGAATATTGACTGCATCCGAGATGGATAAATTTTTTTTGTTTTTAAAGATTTTATTTTTCCTTTTTCTTCCAAAGCCCCCCAGTACCTAGTTGTGTATTTTTAGTTGTGAGTCCTTCTAGTTGTGGTATGTGGGACGCCGCCTCAGCATGGCTGGATGAGCGGTGCCATGTCCACGCCCAGGATTTGAACTGGCGAAAACCTGGGCTGCCGAAGCAGAGGACGCGAACTTAACCATTTGGCCATGGGGCCGGCCCCAAGATGGATAAAATTTTAGCTTGAGAGAGAACCATGTGAAATAAGATCTTTCTGTTTCAGAATTTGGTTTCCAAATCTAAAGGTGGTGCTGACACCATCTCTAGGCTTGCCCATTCCCTCAGGTCCCATGTGGGGCACTTACATAGATCTTTGACACAAGCGTACTGTTGGTCGCTGTAGAGTGGGGAGCTATAGGCCCGATGGAAACCAGGGGGCTGTAGGAGGGGATGGGAGAAAGCATTAGAGATAGCAAGGAAGGGCCCAGAACCCATCTCTCCCATGAGTGCTCACCTCTTCTTAGAGTAAGAAATAGGCTGACAAAGAAGCAGGGAAATGGCTGGGATGACTTGAGGAGGGTTTGGCAAGAGGGTAGCTGGCAACATGCCCCTCCCTTCTACCTTCTTGCTCCCAGAGTCTACTACTCACGATCTTGCCGAAGCATCTCTGCATCTCCACATAGGACTGACAGTGTTCGTGGATGTTCGTTTTGCAGTTCTTGCAGCGTAGCCCAAATTTGTTGTTGACTTGGGAGAAGGGAGAACATTTGGGTGAGGTCCATGAGCTCCCTCGTGCCATGGCTGCTCCTCTAGCTCTTAGTCCCTTTTCTGTCTGGGACCTGACATTCTCAGTCTCTAATAGTATTTTCTTAAAGCCAAATCTTGCCACAGCCTGTCTGCGATACAAATACTCCTCTCCTAAACCCTTTCCCCGCCCACTGCCTTGGACATCGCACTCTCTCCACTTCCCTTCATGACTCACGCACAATCATCCGGGCACAGACATCACAGAACTTGGGCTTCTTGAAGAAATGATCTTTGAATTTATGGGGCTTATCATTGACAAGCTTAGGAGGTTCTGGGGGTGGCTCCTCCTCCTCTTCTTCTTCCTCCTCTTCCTCATAGATGTAGTAGATGGGCCCACCCCCAGCTCCCACTGCCTCCCCATTGGCCTGGGGCTCTGGGGGAAGCTCCATCTCCTTTGTTCCTGTAGACTCCTTCCTGAATAACCGCTTCAGCCGCTGTAGCTGAGGGAGGGAGTCAGGGAGGGAAGGAAACCCAATGTTAAAAGAACTGTCATGCTCTCTAGAGTAGGTAAGGCAGAAGCTGACTAGATATTTTCTAGCCTGGGGCAAGGGGCACAGCCCAGGATTAGGGGGTATTGGGGGCTGCAGGTGCTGGCTAGCATTCTGACAATGAATGAGTCACATATAAGGGAGACCCATTCAAGCACTTTTCGTCAAGGGCTGCAATGGCTTCCCAGCTCCCCATAGCCCGTGGTCAGAGGCCCACACTCACCCCACTTTGCCGAGTCTCTGCTGGGAAGGGGGGCTTAGGGGACTCCAGCACCTCCTTTTCTGTCATCCTGCAAGAGGTTGGACCCCACTATGAAATGTAATCTCTGCCTGACATTCCTCCCTTCCTATTCCTGTCCATTGCAGGAGGGTGGTCCTTGAAGGGGAGGGTTCAGGAGAAATCTGGTTAAACAGGGATCCTTTCACAGGGCTTATAAACAGAAAGATTCCATGGAAGTCCAGAGAAAAGCCCAACAGACTAAAGAACTTCCCAACCAGTTCCTCAAACTGATACCCATCCCTCCACCCTGAGGGGCAACCCGAGTTTAGAGCCCCAATACAGTGATCAAGGCTGCGTGGTTTAGGGGATTTTCCTACAGGTACTTTGTTTCTCATGGGACTCTGTAGGCAATAGAGATGTGGCATACACCTTCCTAGACCTCCTTTCTTCAAGAGGTTTAATGTGTGTGTCCACAAGCACACATGATGGGTTGGGCTGGGAACATTTGTTCTCCCCTCTTTCTTGAGCCCCCAGGGCCCACTGCCTAGTTCCCAGCCTGCCTCAGGCCTCAGCTATTTTAAGTTTTCAGAGTAATATGAGCCTTTCCTTCCCTTACTACTCTATTCCCTTAACCCCACCCCCACCCCACCCTCCAATCCTGGACAGAATAATAATTTCACTCCTAAAACCCAAGCTGCTCACAGACAAGGAGAGAAAGGAAGAAGCTGAACAGACTACATATCAGGGAAGCTGGGGTAAGCAGTCCTGGAAATGGGAAGAAGATGATGAGGCAACTTACGTTTGGGATTGCCTAAGTCAGTCCAGAGTCTGTGGAGGGAAGAGGGAGCCCCTGGGGTCTTGATGATGGTGCTGGGGGAGGACTGGTCCTCTTCCTTGGGGGCTAAGCCCCCCCACTATCCTCTGTACTCACACCGGCTACCCAGACGGTATTTGTAGACCTCCTAGCCTCTCGCCTTGGTGTCAGAGCTGAAATGACAGGGCTAGAGGAAAGTGGACAGCTGAGCGACACAGCTGACACAGAGAAATTGGACACTGGGAGGTCTGGGCAGGGCTGGACCCTAAGTCCTCCCATCCCCCAGAGCTGCCATTCCCTGGTTTTTCATCCACGGTGTGCAGGTCAGTACTGGCTAAATTCAGGAAGGGACAGTGTTCATGCTGCCTCTTCATTTCGGTGATTTTAGGACAGAAGGTAAAGTCATCTAAAATTCTACTCTCCTTGGACCTACTTTAAGAACCAGCTTCAACCTCTCAGCCATTGTGTTCTTGTGGCCCAGTGGTTTTACATTCTCAAGCATCAATCTAGCCTCAAACCTTTAGGAAGGAAAGGGCTGGGGACTGGTGAAGAAAGGAAAATTTGCATTCTCAGAGCTCTCCTATCAGCCAGCTGAGACTGCTTTCCTATTCGTGGTGGCTGGAAGGGTACCTGGCTGCCATCCTGTAAGGGAGTGAACACCTAGTACCACCTTGTTCTCTCCAGCTACCCCCAGAGACATCTTTCCCTGGATTCCTCTAAAATCTTGTCCTCAGGGTGAAGGGAATTCTAAGGGTCACTAAAAAAAACCAAGCCAGGACTTCCATCTGAGGGGCTCTGGGGGAGTGAGGGTCTAACTATCAGGTAGAGATGGTCCTGTTAACATTGGACAGAAGGCAATAGCTGCCACATGGGGAGTTCTTATCATCTGCAAGTAATGTCCCCTTCCCCATGAGAACTGCAAACTCTTGGAGGTAGGATGGCCAAGCCTCACACTTCCTAAATCACTTTGATTCCCTGATTCCATCACCCTCCTCTGATGCCCGGGGATATGAACTGATGGGTCAGTGAGATATCTGGCATTCTTATCTCACAGCAAGGCAGCCTTCCCCTACTCTAGGCTGTGACGTGGCCGAAAGAGGCACTCTCATCCCAGACGAGAGCGATTTAGAGGTGGTACTGTAGTGCCGCTTTATCCCTTGTATCTGTAAGAAAAGGATTACTGTGGAGGTTGGGTCAGACAAGCTTCCGAGGAATCTGGCTAGAGACACGGCTACCCAGACCTAAGAGCTTTCCAGAGCAACATACTTTGTCATTTCTACCACCGTTCATTTTTCTCTCTTTAAGGGGTGGGTGAGGTTGAAAAGGGGCCGCTGGAGGTTCTGGGCCTACAGGTTCTTTAACGGCCCTGGTCTGACCGTCTGCACAACAGGGCTAGTTTTGAGAAGCCTAAGAGAGAGGAAAAGCTCCATCTTGCAGCGAGTGACTTCTGCTCTTCACCTTTCTTCAGCTGCATAGGCCAGGGACTGCTGGGTACACCTGGATAATATGGTATATTGGCACTGCAAGTTCAAGTGATGTAGCTTTTATTGTAAGAAACATCTACCTCTGTTCCTGCTAGGTAGAACCCAATCCTCTGGCTTTAGGATTAAAGAAAGGCCCAAGTCATCCATCCCTGAAGAGTTTTCAGAAGATTAGATGGACAGGTATGAGGCCAGCATCTCAACCCAGTTCTGGACTTCACTCACCCCTCCCCAACTCAGCCATGAGGGCCCTAAGTGTCAAAGAATTAACAGAGTGGAAGGAACCTCAGAGGTCACCTAGTCAGTCCAAGTCTCTTATTTTACTGGTAAGGACTCAGAGGTCCAGAGTTGAGAATTGAGATGCTTGATGAACCACAGTTAATGGCAGAGTTGGGAGAGCCCAGAACCAAGGTCTATTAGAGACGAGGCATCTATCAGAATATTATGTGCAAGGAGGAGGATGGGACATAGGGACTGGTGTTAGAAAGATATGTATGCATATGCTAGAGAAAGCCATCCCAAGCCACATCAAAGCCCTCCAACAGCTGTGGGGCTGTACCCACCCAGGACCTCCAACCCCCACCCACACCAGAGCAGCAACAGAGAAACAGGGACTGACGTCCAGTGACAGATTTTTTTTTTTTATATTTAAAAACAAAATCAACCTCCCCCCAGATAACCCCCCAAACAAACAAAAAATCAGATTAAATAAAATTTACAGTGAATATACCCAGCAAACATCTGTATGTGCAATTAAATACTGTGTCTGTTACTGCGGCACGAACCTTAAACAAACAATATACAAGTGTTCTGTGGGGGGAGGCCCAAGTTTTAACTCTGTGGGGTTTGGGGAGACAAGATGGGGGAAGTGAGAGAAAGGGGAAATCAATTTCATTTTTCTTAATTCTGTCCATATAAATATATTCATAAACCAAAAAAGAAAAGGGAGCTTGGGATGGTACAGAAATAGGAGAAGAAGGGAGTGTGGGACCCTCCCAATTCTACCTGACCAAAAATATGAAAGAAATTAATTTCATGGTGGGAAAAGAGATAAAAAATGACAGACGAGGATGGGAAGGAGAGGGAAGCAGAGGGGGGCCAACCAGGGAAAAAGAGGGGACCCATGGCAGGGGAGCAAGAAGGAGCCCAGTGCCAGTGTGAGGGTCTGTCTCTGATCCCATCTTTATCCCTACTGCCTTAGGCTCCAGTTTAGTGCCTGTCACCTTACTTTCTGCCTCTGTGTGTGGTCTGTCAGGATGCCTCAACCCCTCCACCCTGCCCCCACCCCCGCTGGGCCAGTCCCTTCCCCTCCTCCGTTTATTGGGAGCTGGCTCGCTCCAGGATCCTCAGGTCATAGTTCTTTTTGGCCACTCGAAGTTTGAAGCGACTCACAGAGTTGTTGAGGCGAAGGGAGGCATTTTGGGCAGCCAGGGGGCTGGGGAACACAGCCACGATGGTGTACAAGGCAGCGAGGTCCGCGTGGCGGCCGTTCTCGGCAGTCCCACCGTTGTCCCCCCCACCCCCACCAGGCAGCCCCTGAGCATCCTTGAGCCACTGGATCTTGGCGCCGGACATGGCGAGCTGAGTGAAGAGTTTGTCCGCCTCGGTACGGGTGATGCCCTCAGGGAGATCTGTCACCTCCAGCACCCGCCCCAGGACTGGAAGGGGAGGAGAGAAGACATGGTTGAGAGGTGTAGAGTAGGACTGGACAGCGGCTGGCTGATCAAGTCTGTACGCAGTGTCCTCAAAAGCCTGACCTTTCCCACTCAGCCCTTTCCTCCCTCGCCAAATCAACCCAACCCCCCCACCATCTAGACTCTGATCAGGGCAACTAGGAGAAACAAAGGAACCTTTCTCTTCTCCTAGACCAGAGATGCAGGCAAGAAGAGCCTGGAAATCAGAATCCCAGATTTAAGATCTGGAGACCTATGCCTCAGTTCTCTCACAGGGAGCCATTACTGTGAAAGAAGTGTGGTTTTTGCTGATGTTCTTTCACAAAGTCAATAGCCCAACCTGAAATATCCTTCATGTTCCCTTCCCAGAGGCTGACCCAAATAGATTCCTCTTTCTTATCATCTAGGGAAGTCAGTTTCCCTTCCTTTCCTTGTTTAGTAAACTGCTCCAAAAAGGGGAAAGGTAAGAGATCTCGTATGTTTAGTATGAAAGGCCTGCAGGAGTAGAGTTACTCTCCCATATGCTCTTGTCAAGCTTCTCCTAAACTGAATCTAGGACTACCTAAAGCAGACAACCTAGATTAGGGTCGGGACCACTCCCACCAGACTCTCTCTTAATAACAGGCTCAGCAACCCCCATCATTGTGTTACTCCCAATTTCTACCACCATCTTCCAGGACCTGGAGTGGCTTGGTAAGGAGGACTGAGATAGTTCACTTCTCCAGCTTCTCCTTGCTCTTGATACACCCTAAGCTGTTAGCTTTTCCCACAAGTCCTGGGCTAGTAATGCAGGGCTGGAGGGGTGATGCCTTTTCTTGGGGATTCAGTATCCTGTCACTCACCAACGTCTGTCGTCCCCAGGTCAGTGGAGGCAGATTTGAGTGCTTGTCTCTTGCTCCGGTTTCCATGCTTCAATCCACTCTGTCCCTTCAACATTTGAAAGATAACTCTCATCCCCGGTAAACAACACTGCCTGCCTTGAATCCCAAGGTCTGTCTGTGAGATTAAGGAGCAGCACCCAACCCTGAGGACCTCACCCCACCAGGCAGTCAGATTGGCCAGAAAGTGGCCACTGAGAAATAAAGAGCCCCTCCTTGTTGGCACTGGGGTCAGGTGGGAGGAATAGGTCCAAGAGTGAGGTAAGGCCCCTCCCACTTTGTCCATTCTCTCTGTGTTCCTTCTCCACCCAGCTGGTTGAGGTGGATGGCTCAGAGATGGGGTCCCAGATGAGAGGGGGGGCATCTAATGGCCCTAAGGCTGATGGTGGACACCCTTACCTGGTGCACCGTGTAAGTTGACTGGCCATGGAGCAAGGGAGGGCAGATGGACAGATTGTACTGTAATGGCTGGCCTAAGAGGGAGTAGCGCCCATCACCTAGGGAGGAAGAGCAGAAGGTTTTCTGGGAGTCTGAGCTTCATGGTTAAGACTTTAATGAGTCTTCAAGGGGCTTTGGAGATAGACAGAAATACTGCATACTATTCCTACTTTTTCTGTGATAGGAGTGCCCATGTGACTGACTTAAGTTGTCTCTCTTCCTAAACTCCTTGGCTGTCAGCTATATCCCAGACAAATGGGGGCTCTTAGGTTCCCTTACCCTTGAAGACGGGATCTGTGTATTGTAGAGAAAAGGCCCCGGAGGAAACCTAAAGACCCTTATGAATGTCTTTTATTTCTTATATAGATCCTCCCTACCCCGAAGCCAGGGCTAAAGTTTCTGAGTCATCTGAGAGGCAATACAGTGTAGTGGATAAGAGCACAGACTTGGAGCCAGACTGCCTAGGTTCAAATCCGGGCTCTGTTACTGGAAATGGGATGTTGGGTATGTTTTCCCCTCATTAGCGTTGCTGGAAAGGTTAAATGAATATAAGACACATATAGCACTTATAGCAATGCCTGATACATATTAAGCACCATACGTGTTACCTATTATTGTTGATAAATATTATATTTCAGGGCACTTTAAAGTTCTAAACCCATATTCTCATCCTATTTATACTGCTTATGATAGCAGAGGCAGAAAGCAGATAAGATTATTCCCATCTTATATGTGATTAACCCCATTCTGT